ATTGCTAATATCTTATAGTCTGTATTATCTTTTTCTAGATTTTTAATTAACTCTGTACTCATTAAATCGGTGTCAGCATGTACATATACTCTTGGTGAATAATTTTTGAAATTTAAATATTTAAGAATTTTTATCATTTCTGCAGTATGTCCACCAGACCCTAATATTATCATTGTTTTAGCAGAGCTATTGCGAACTAGATTCTTTTCTTTTGTTTTATGTGTAGAAGATGTCATAGAATATATTCTTACAGCAATTATCAGACATATAATTAGAGAAACACAATAAATATAATACATTGTATAAACTTTGTTTATATAACCTGTAACAATTGAAATGAAAATAATTAATTTTTTATAAAAAAAACTAATTTTTATTTATTAGATACATAAATATAAAAATTATTGAACAATATTAATCGTTCAATAATTATATTGTTTATACTATGAACTAACGATATTATATTCAATGTTTATTGGAATTAAATTAATGTATATTTAACAGTTAACTCTCATTTTTTATGAAGTTTAGTAAAACTAATAAAATACAAATGTCAAAAACTCTGTACCTTTTATTTGAGATACTAAATTATGAACTAATTTTGATATTCACAACATTCATAATTCGTGTTTATTTCTTCTAAGGGAAATAAATATGCAACTAATAATGAATTTTCCTCCAGTTGTAATTAGTATTAGAACATAGTTATATAAACTAACGTACAAATATTTATAATATCATAAATCTTAATCTTAATTAATTGTCTATATCAATTTCACTACAAAAATTATAAATATTTCATTGCCGTATATGCTAACGTACACTTAGATTGCAAATATACGCTTATGTACCATTTTATGTCATGAAATAAAGTGTTACAAAAATTACTCTTCACCAATGTAATGATTCGGATTCATAACTGCCATCTACCAGTAAAATGTCGTGCAATGTGCATTTTCAAATTTGATAAGCGTGGTATTGTAGTTTATGCAATAGCAAAATATTGACGAAAAAAAAGTAGAAATATATAACTATTCATAAATATAATAAGTATTGTTATTAATACAAGAAATATCCATGATAAGGAATGAAAAGATTTTATAAAATTTGTGATTTACATGAAACTGTATATTAGTAAAAACATCAGTGTGAAGGTTAGTAAATTTATTTTATTAAATAATTTCAATATGTTGTTAGAAGTT